GGAATCCGCACCGAAGACCACGAATCACTGAAGCATTATCTCTGGGTGTGCTAGGTTTTCAAGCGCACCTTGCTCGAAGCTCACAGCTTTAGGCTTATGGTCGTGGGTACGCATGGGTGGTGGATAGTAAGAAAAAAGTCCGAACGCATCGTTGGAATATTTATGCAGGGAAGTACAAAGAACCCAATCACTAACTGCTTAGTTGCGTTTTCTCGCCATTAAATTTTCAAACTCTCCTTTCAGCTAAAAAGTTAGACATAAAGTCTATAAAAGCTTCGTCTGCGCCTACAAGCCCATCATTTAGAGAACGCTAGAAGCGTCAATACATATGCGCGGCTACAGGTGTTTTTAGCTTAAAATAAATTGAAAGACTTTTCTAAGGCTTTTTTAGCTCGCTCCCAAAAGGACAAGTTTCGCGTATTGCGAATGGCAATTATCAATGAGAAAAAGTCTTACTTTACACAACTAAACTTCAAAGTTCACATACATATCTAGCGCTACCTTCCTTTCGAACTTTTATTTCCTCTTTTCGCACTTTCACACCTTTCAATTCGGAAGTTGTGCATGCAAAGTTGAAATTAAATTTAATTTAGTCGTCTTCGAAGAGGCGTCTCCAGCCCTCAGGTATACAGTTTATGTGCTCAAATGTATGTACAGATATGTTTGTACATACATACATATGTAAATAATTTAATAATCGAGAGTGTGCGTATGCACTTATGATCTTCCGCTGGCAAAAGTTTCTTTCATGATTTATTTATGTGTAATTTACACTCGACTTGCTAGGCACAAATGCAAGTAAATATATATTTAATCTATATATTTACATTTGTACAGTTGTATGTACGTACATACATATGTATGTGTGCGAAAATGCTACAAAATGCCACGACGACAGTCGACGATTTTCCCCACATCTCGCTTATCTACACTAAACTAAACAAATTTAGCAACAGAAATACACATCTAAACACATTTATATACATATGTTTGTATTTGCATGTACATATATGCATATACATTTATATTCATGAGTATTTTCCCCATGCAATATTTCATATTCATATGCATTTCAAGTGTGCACGCTATATTAGTTGCGCTGGCATCGACATGTTTGTGCATGCTCAAGTGGCAATCATTGCTTGAAAGCCATTTAAAATGCTCATATGTACATATGTTTGTATGTAGTTTGCACGAGTGTAAGCATTTACAATTGTGTATTTGTATTTGTTGTTAATTAAATTTGCATTTGTTGGTTTGATTATCGGAGTTATATTCTTTGCAGATCTCTATACATACATATGTACAATATATAAATCCTAAACGTGTAGGTTATACATATATGTATATGCTTTTAATAAAATGACTTTTACTTCTGCACTCTCGCACTGACAACTTTATTCTGCACTATTTTCCTACTCTTTTCACACCATTTCCCCATCGGCTGATTATGATTTTGTCATTTGATTATTTTGTTATCGATATCTTCCACAATTCAATTGAGGCTTGGCTTGCCCGAAGCATCACTGCGAACGTCATTTGTTGCCGGACGCGTGCTTGTGTGTCCATTTATTTTCAATTAGATGTGTGTAAATTGCCAATGGCAAAATTTATAAATAAATAAATACATAAATATGCATTTACATAAGTGTGTTTTTGCTCACAACAAACAATAAACTGTCATAAATCAAATATGTAAATTTATGCGAAAATCCTTAATTAATTAACGATTGGAAAATATTTATATTGAATTACTGACCACATTATCTATGGCAAATAATATGTTTTGTGTGCTTAATTTGAATGGGAAAAGAGAGGGGTAGAGAGAGAGAGAGTGTATGACTGGGGAAAACAATCACAATCGAATTACAATAATAATAATAAATAGTTAAAAAATAATAATGTTTAATTACACAAAAAAAAAATTATAATAATAATAATAAAGTGAGCTCCCAATTAACCTTGTTTGTCAATTTTGTAATTTATGTAAATAGAGCAGTTTTTCCCCTCTTGAGGTACGCTCTCCCCCCTTCTGATGCCGTGCATAGACTTTATATGCGTCAATTGCGTTGTAGGTAACATTTTAGACTTTATTTGAAAGCATTCAGACTGACAGATTTAAAGAGAGAGAATACTGAGTTTCTTCTGAGAGCCTTTTAACTAACTTCTTACAATGTTAGGTTAGATTTTAGGTTACCAAGTACAATTAGCCTGGTTATACCACTGATGTTCCCTAGAGCCTTTACTACAGTAAGTAAGTTCGCTCGAGTCTCGTAAAAATTGCGCGAATTAAGTAAGAGCGGCCACAATGTCGGTATGAGTGAAAGTAGAAAAGAACTAGAGGTTCTGAACGCTTTCGATCTGGCAACTGGTGTTGGAAGCAGAGTGGAGTGGAGCTTAAGGGTGACGTTTTTGTGGTAAATTGGAGAACGTAGGGTACGACTTTTGGTGAACCGAGATAGTCTACCCTACACCGCTTAGGAATTTAATATCTCCCAGACATTCCTGATGCTGATAAAAGTAAAAAGCCACTGTTGAAGCTGCAGGAGTTGCAGACTTCTTTGATAGTGAGTTTTGGTTATTCTTCGGATGATTTGGAGAATCAGTCAGGATCTAGTATCTAGTATCATTAGATACCAACCGATATGTGTATATAGTTTGTCGCTAGATAACAGATCGGGAAGTTATGTGGTGCAATTAGATATGAGTGTTTCCAAAAAAAGATGGATTTTCCAAGGCAAATTCAGAAGTTGATCGCATTATTTACTTCCCGTAGAGGTTTTTAGATGAAAATGGACTGCTGCGATGAGTTTCACTAAAAGAAGAGTTCCACTGTATGATTATCGGCGTAAGATACTCAGCTCGACAGTGTTAGTATCAGATCAATGGTTAAAATCTGTCGAGTTGACAGCTTGAAAGAGAGAATGAGTGACGGTTGGCAGATCTGAGTTGTCAGAGAGGGTGACATCCGTTTAAGGCTCGTCCCTCGTCTAAAAGTATGCTGGGAAATGCCACGGAGTCTTTGCTCGCTTAAACGAAATCCAATACACCTCTAGGCTCCCGTTCACGCTCTTGCCCAAACCACCTTAATCTCTGGAAAATAATTCATGCACGTCCTTCCTCAACTAAAAAGCTCTCCAGTAGCATCAAATTATACGCTCAGCCGTCATAAATTATAATATACTACAAACGTACACATGTCGCACTCCAGCTCATACGCGCTGTCACACGCGCTACTAACAAATATGCGGCACAAATTTGCTGTCACATATATTCAAATTGTTTTCAATGAGCTTCCCCGAAGCTTACGGCAAGCACGTGGCTACAAATCATCGCTGTCGCAGTGTCAACAAAGAGCGGAAAAAGAACAAAAATGGAAAGGAAAAGGAAGAGAAGTTTACAGTTTAGTGAAAGACATAGAATGAAAGAATTAAAAAGAATAAAAGAATTAAAAAGAATAAATAAGTAAATTGAAAGAAAAAAGATATAAAAAGCAAAAAAAAAGAAAAAAAAGAAGAAAAAAAAAACAAAAAAATTTGCATGAATTTTTTCGCAGCGCGTGGTCGTTTTTCACAGCAAGCGCCTAAAAGTATGCCTTGCAAGTGTACTTTCCCCTCTTACTGGCTTTACACGGCGTTGAAATACTGCCGCATATTTTAAGCTACAAATGTATAAATTCGTTGAAGAATAAGAGTGTGTGTCCGCGCGGCGTCATAAATCAGACAGCAAGAAAGTGAGTGAGATAAAACGAGCATGAAAAATATAGTAAAAAGTAATAGAACTGAAAGTGGAAACTTGCGCGCCTTAAGGTATGCATTGTGTGCTTAAAGTAAATAGAATTAAGGCAGCATGTGAAAAAAAAACACAGACAAACAGTTTGCCGACGCATCATTGAGTTACATAAATCAATGTAAATACATATATATGTATGAAGGCAAAAAGCAATGCCATGAGAAGAGCAGAAAAATACCAAAAATATTTAAAATGCTTGCATTTGTGAATGAGTGTTGCCTACATTCAGGCTGTCATTGCAATTACTGTGCACGCATGCTTCCTCTTATGCACGCGGTATCCTTTTCTCCTCTCTTTTACCTATTCGCTACTACTGCATACAGTTTCACTCAGTGTGCAGTTTACTGCTACATTTTAATTGAAAAATTCATGCGCAATTAAATCAATTTAAGCTTGCAAATTATGTGCCACCGACATGCCTACTTTTAGGCGCATAGCATGCCAACATCACGTCGGGTTATCAGAAGGCCGCAGCAGCTAGTAAAACTGATTTTAATGAGAGTCTTTTATATAACAGCTTTATACTTTGGCGGAATTTTCTTTGTCTTTTTTAATTTTAAACCGTTATTTATGCACTTTATTTATCATCTCTCTTGCATTCCCTTTGTATTGGCGCGTGTGTTACTTTCCACTGCCTCCCTTTCCCGTATCTGTCCTTCCTTTGTGGCGTTAAACGCCGTACTTGCGGCTGACCCAGTTTTATAAACAGCACAACGTCGCTTGCGGCTAACGGTAGTCAAAGATATGGTTAAGTGAAAGTTGCAAACCGGCTTGGCTTTTGTAGTTAATGGAAAAAATATAATATTTGCAAAGAATTTGCACGCTTAAATGGTCAGCTGTGAAGGCAAATAAAAGATGTCTGAATAGTTCGTAGATGGGAGGGTTGGTCGAAGTGGGAAAAGTAAGGTGAGGTTGTAAATAAAAAGATATAAAGTGCGAATAGATAAAGTGTAAAGAAAATAAATTACTGAATCGTATTTTTCGTAACTCTAAAGGCAAATGTTTGTATTTTTTTTTGCGACTCGTTTGTAAGGATTCGCAAGGAATTGCCGGTGAAGCGTGTGCCATTCAAGAGACTTTTAGCTTGTAAGAAATATTATGCTATTGAAAGCACTTTAAAGCCCTATATCGCTACATGCAACCACTAATAAATCACTCACACACTTCTTTAACTATTTTTTTCTTTTGCTTTTTTTTCATCCAACCAGCTGGGCCGTCTCCACCGTCATGACACGTGAGAATATGATACCACGTGCCTCGGTAACGAAAAAAGTAGCCACCAACGGCGCTGCTGATGCTAGTCAACAAACCGAGACCATTGCCGCCCTCATACCCTTCTGGGATATGGCAAACCATCGGCAAGGACGTGTCACTTCCTTCTTCAATTTGGCCACAGACGAAATGGAAAGCACTGCCCAGTACGATTTCAAGAAAGGCGAACAAATTTTTATATATTACGGCGACCGCTGCAATGCTGATCTCATGATACATAATGGGTAAGTGGTTGAGTGGGGTCAATGGAAAATTAATCACTCTAAAAATACCATTATAAATACAAACTGTAAATAGAAGACTATTAACCACCAACTCTATTTTTTTCTCACGCACTCGCTCTGCACAGTTTTATCAATCCCACCAATCCGAAAGACTATGTCTGCATAAAACTCGGCCTCGGCACTTCCGATCCGCTCTTCGAGCAACGCGCAAAACTGTTGAATCTGATGCAGATCGGCAAAAATACCGATTTGAAATTGCTGCCACCACCTGCTTACATCTCACCCGAACTGTTGGCGTTCGTTCGTGTTTTCAATATGAACGTCGAACAGTTGGAACACTGGATTACCTCAGAACGTGCCATGGATATTATGCATATTGATTGTGCGCTAGAAACTACGCTCGAATCGAAGACTTGGCAATACTTGCAGACACGTCTAATGCTCTTGTTGCGCGTCTTTTCCACCACACTGGAGGCGGACGAAGCGCAGTTGGCTGCGTATAAGAAGGATGAGCTCTACTTGTGTTATGTTGAAGCAATGGTGTTGGAGTATCGTGTGCTGGAGAAACGTATATTGGCGGCGGCGCTTGACTATGCCAAGCAGCGTGTAAAGGCTTAATTGAATTGTGATGGATGAAGCGAGTTGATGACCAAAGGTGAATGAAAATGTGAGACAAATACCAACAAATTGTGGCCATTTTTAACGTATAATGCTCAGCAAAAATACTACGTACTATGTGTATATTTTCTAACGGTTTTTTCAGACGTTTTCGAATAATAATTTTTGAAGTATTTTTCTTTTTTTAGTTTATATTATATTTGGTAAGCGCTAATTTCTTTAGTTAACACTATTTATTGCAGAACTTTTCATAACTTGAATTTATGAAATATCAACTTTCTGTATTTTGTTGTATTTTTTTTTGGCAAATCGTTTGATGTTTTCTAATAAAGTGAAATTTTTGCTAAGTTCCTTTTTTTATTGGCTGTCAATATAATTTAAGAAGGCTAACGGTTGCGTGAGGTATGTATTGACTATTGGTGGTGACTCTCAAAGAAAGTAAATAAGCTTTATTTATTGAAATTCGGAAGTGGAATAACTTTAATTGTATATACTGCGTCATTATAATAATATTTGTCAATGAAGTGTAATAAGTTGTTATAGATTAGCTTTTGTTTACGCTTTTAGTAATCTAAATAATTTAAAATTAGTATTTACATGGGCTGAAAATGTGTAATTTTTAGAATAACAAATGAACAAAGGTTTATTAAGCGAAAATTTGTTTATGTTTCATCGACCTTCAAATAACATATTAATGAGTTAATTACTATTCATGCATGTGTATGTTTTTTTTAAAAGCTTCATAAAAGTTTGTCCTTTATCCAAAAAAAAAAAAAAAAAAAAATCAGAAAACACACACACATTTAGCAGCTTAGTTGTGTGTTATACGCTGGCTTCCTTCGGTGCGAATGTCCGCAGTTTGTCTCTTATTCATGGAAACGAGTAACTAGGGTTTTGTTTTTCGGACAATTTTGTATGTAAATTTAAAGTTGACCGTTATAATTTGGCAATAAAAGCTCGTAAAGGGATTTCTGCGGCAAAAAGTGGTAATGAAATGAAATTTTCATGGAAATTTTTAACCAATTTGTAATGCGGTACACTGTTGTTGGTAAATTTTTTTTGGTTTAATTAAACAAAGCAAATTCATTTATTAAAAATTAATAGAAAATGTTTGTGCTTAAATTTGAATTTCTATAACCAGAAGAAGAGTTATTTAATTGAACAACTTCTACAGCTTTGTTTTAAGCTTTAACACACTGAAAGCATTAAAAACTAATTAAATTTAAATTGATCAAATGTTTTTAACCCAAAGCAAAGCACAGTTTCCTGAAATATTTGCTCACTGCTGGCTGCCAATCCACAAATCCATGCCATTTCTTATGCAATCTGTATGCTTGATTAATGCATTGCATTTCTATTATTTTTACTCTTCTTACCTGCAACACTACCACGTTGTTGGAGAAAAAAGAGCGTTGATAATTCAACGGATATTTTCGTTTGTGTACGGCAAGAACAGCATAAGAAGAAGCAATGGAAAAGGGCAGCAGGTCAACGAGCCGCAATTGACGTACAATACACAGATGTGGCGGCTGAGGAGTAGAGACGTGTTAGCGACATACAAACTGAATTGATGAGTGACACAAAGCGAATGAGGGCACTTACGATGGCGTAGCTGGAGTTGAAATGCCAAAAGCAAGGCAAAAGCAGTTACATACATTTAGATATGTATATACAGTGGTGGTCACTGAAATATGAGGACAGAATGTCGAATATTTTTCGGGTTTTATATGCTTCATAAAGCTTACCTCTAAGGTATTGTAAAGCGTTGTGGTTAACTGTATATGTTGAGTGAGTCATTTTTTGATTTATTTTTTTGTTGTTAACATGTGGCACAACACTGTAGTTAGTAGTGAGCCATTGATGGGGTTGAACGACTTTATGCTTGAAGCAAGGCAGCTTTGGCTTTGTTGGAGCGCCTGTATATGCTTATTAATTTTTAATGCCGCTCTGTAAGTGTTATCAAGAACAATGTGCCCCTTCGGCTCTCAAAAACATACAGTAAATAAATATATGGGTTTGATATTAAGCGCATACTGTCACGTTTCAGCTACCGCCATCAGTGGTTTTCATACAAACAGTAATTGCTTTGTGCTCATTTTCCTCTTTGTCACTTCTGGTCAGAGTTTTTTTTTTTATATAGATTGGCAGACGTGGACATTTTTTTGTAATTTTTCAAAGTCCGAGCGAGTGCCCTCTTCCAAATGTTAATTCTGCCCATATCTCTTAATAATTGTCCAAGTCTTAGATGCAGCTTCTCGTCTCGTCTAAAGCCTCGTTCTTTTGCTTTCTCTTCATTTGTGTGCTATATTTTTTTCAGTAATTTTGAGTAGTTCTGCCATTTGCTACTTTGCGGTAATGACATTTGATAAATTTACGTGCCGCCGGCTATAGCAAGCTGCAGACAAAGAGGCTTTCGCAAAAGCAATAAAAATTGCAAAAAATAATGATGTCGGCGTCTAAAAAGACAGTTAAATGACGAATAAAGTTCAACGAATTACCGGCAAAGTGTAGAAACATTTTAACGGTATATTCATTAGTGTAAGTAAGCGCTTAGCTCGCACCTCTTACAAATCCATGACTTTATCATCCGTTTGAAATCAGTGGGTTAGTCAGCGGTAGATTTCAGTTGTCACATCTCTCTCGCTCTCTTCTCTGAGTGGGAGCTCGTGTGTGTGTGTGTGTATGTATGTGTTTGTGCGTTACTGTTGGCTTATTCGACTTTCATGCTTTGGTTTAACTTTTTTTTTGGCTTTTCTTTGTCTCTTTTTAGACATTTTTTATTATGGCACTCCACTTTGTCTTGCTGTCAAATTAACAACTCACATTTTTTGTTTTTTTTTCTTGTTTTTTTATTTCGTGTTTTCAGTAAAGCTTACACAAGTTTGACCGGCGATAATTTTACGCCTGTCATCAACGTCGTAACGTGTCAGAGAAGATATATACACAATCTATATGCGTACGAGTGTACGTGTATGTGTAACAAGCAATGCTCTTATTTCATAAAAAGAAAATAAAAAAATTTGGAAAATATTTTATATGCCATTTTTACTTTTTAACGACCGCTGTTGCGTAATCGTCGTGTGTTGGGCAAAAAGCTTTGCTCTTTTTGTTTGTGACATACATGAGACACGTTGAGTGGATTATATATGTTTTTGTCGTTGATTGTTATGGAAGATTAAATCAATTATTTTTTTTTTTTTTGTGAAAGGATAAAAAATTAATAAAATTGAAAAATAATTTTTTTGGTTTTCTTTCAAATTTTTTTATGGTTTTAAATAATCATTTTTAATATTTCTCTTTTCTTAATAATGTCAAATCCTCTTTTGAAATCTCTATTGTATATAAATAATAAAAATTTTAATATTTTTTCTTTATATTATATTATAATTCAATATTATTTGGTTTCAATTTTCATTTTTTTTTAATTTTAATTTTAATATTTTTTCTAAATATTGTACTGTTAATATTTCTATATTGTTTTTAAATATTTTAATATTTTTTTATATTATATTTCAATAATATTTGGTTTTAATTTTATTTTTTTAAATTTTTTTTTTATTTTAATATTTATTTTTAATAGTTTAAAATTTCCTTTAATGTTTTGTTCAAATATTTTAAAACTTTATTTTCATATATTTCTTTTTAGCAGCTTCCTACTGAGCTGCTTAACATCTTTTAAACCGAAATTTTAATATTCACTCCACAATATACATTTCCTGCTGCACTTGCCAATTACCGGCGTTTTCCCTCGGGGCAATTTGCCACAGTCCAGCACACATTAAACCCAAAAAAATCATATGTACAATTGTATTTATATAATATTCTGTAAAATTTTACCCAAAAGTGTCAATTACAGTTTACATTTTAATTACAACACGATGCGTTGTTGGAAACGAGCCTAAACATTAGTAGAATATATATATATTTGTAATAAAATATTTACAAACACACAAGAGAATACATATATTATGGCTGTTTAGGTTTGAAATGGATGCATAAATAAATATTTCATGTAAATACACGCAAAATTACAAATCCGTTACTCATACGCCGTGGTATACGCACTTAGAAGGCACAAATCGAATGTACAAACATACCTACTTACATATGCATATGCAACGGCATTTCATAGTTTAAATGCGTAATTATTTTGGGAAAATATTAATATTTACTGCAAGTTCAATGCAGACATACGCATATACGTATATAAGAAATGCAGTTTTTGCTCACTAACGGAGCAAAATTCACTCGCAAATGCAAAATACCCAAAATGTTGCTCATACGCAGCGGTGCTTCGGTTGCTGGCGGAGGAATGAATCGTATGAAAGGCTGATAGACAGTCAGCTTGCTTGCTTGTTTATCAGTGTGTGTGTATGTAACGTGAAGTATTTCTACATTGTAACGATATAGAATTTGTACCGTTATATACACGAGCGTATATTGAAAACTCGTACAATGCTGCATATTTTGATTTTTCATCCCCTCTCAAAATTTATACTAAACTATTTATTAGTGAAATTTTATATGCATATTTATGTACGCATGAATTTATGTATTTGATTAAACTTGTATTTATGCCTGCATTTATTATGCAAATATGCAGCGGGCAAGTGAGCATGTGCGGCTTGACTAGCCTGGGCTCGGCCTGGCTTGGCTTGGCTTGGCCTAGCTTGGCCCGTCAGTCATTTTGTCGGCTTGCAAGTAAAACAAATATTTGGAGAAATATTTATTGCAAAGCATAAACGGATTTAGTGTATGTATGTATGTATGTTTGTATGTGACAGTGTGTGGCAATTAAATTAATTGCAACAAACTGCTGCTGGCTTTTGCAAATGCGAGTTTTTGTGGTTGTTAATGCACTATTATTTATATTTATTTTTTTTTTATAAAATATTATTTAATTATTTTAAGCTGCAGTTTTTATTACGAAAAACGTATTTTTTTATGTTTATAGTATTTTATAGTAATTTTTTAACTTTATTTACATTATATTTAGTTTTTCTTTCAATAATACGCTCATTAAGTTTTTATGCGTATGGGGGAAAGGAATACTCGTATGTACATACATACATATTGATATTTATCTGTTAAATTTTTTAACTTTTTTTACATTTATTAATTTTTTTTTTATAATTTCTATTAATTCAAGCATTTTTTTCTGCTAAATTAAAAGGTTCAGCTTAATTAATTTTTTTAATTTTTTTTTGTAAATAATTTTTTTTTTTACATTTTTTGTATTCATTTCTGCTAAATTGTTTTTGTTAAATATTCCTCCTTCACATTTATTAATTTAATCTAAATTGTAATATATTTTATTAAAGTT